TCTTTGAAAAATCTTCCCCACCCCTTTATAAATGCCCTTTACATCCCCTGAAAATGCCTAAAAACTTCAAAATTTCGCGTGCTTCGCGCGCATTTCTTGTTAACATGGGCCAATTTCCTCTAAAAATTGCACATTTTAGGGAGTTTTGATCAATTTCAACGAAATTAGAATTAAAAACACCGGGGGACAAGGTGAAAATATCTTTGGGAAATCTTTCCCCACCCCTTGACAATGCATCCTCTGAAAGTGCCTAAAATTCTCAAATTCTTTGCGCGCATTTCTTGTTACGGTAGGCTAATTTCCTCTATAAATTGCACATTTCAGGGAGTTTTCATCAATTCCGACGAAATTAGAATTAAAAACACAAAAATATTTTGCCCGCTTCGCTCGCAATTTTTAGGGGTTTTTTTTAAGTTTATCCTTTTAAGTTATTTAAACACATAAAATAGTCCCAAACTCAAGAAAGACAAATTTAAGATAGATCGCGTTTTAACCTAAAAGAAGGACCTCAATGTGTATTGATGGTGAAAGAATATGTTTGTAATAACTAAAACCACGATGAAAATGCTTAGGGGCCTATACTGTATTTAGTTTCAAACACACGTGTGTGGCCTATATTATAAATAAGATAAGCCCTATGTCGTATTGTTTTCTATATGGGGAGTGGGGTGGGGTGGGTATGGTAAATTACTAAAATAAATACCCACTCTGACCCAAGACCTCTGTTACGCGCCTGGTGTTAGCGCCAATGTGTGCCCTTGTGCGGACAGGGGATGTGCCCCCCCCCCTGAAGCTGGAAACCTTGTTTTTGCAAAATAAATTGATGCAATTTGCTATTATAGGCCTACTCAGTAAATTCCTCATCAACCGATATAACCTTAAACATTCTTGCAATTGACATAACATTACTGTCGTAGGAAACGTGGCTCTCTTTGCAAACACATCTAACATCTAAGGAAAGAAGAGCTTAGATTGGTACCAGATAAAATAATTTTGTGATCAACATTAATACATTATGCTAATTTTCATTTTTGTAAGCGCATAAGACAGTGCAAATTATTTCTGTGACAGTCTTTTGAAGTGTGTAAAGCTCCATTTTATCCCATACATAGTCAAAATATTTGGGGATGATACAATGGACCATCCCCCCTTGTCAAATATTGGGGGGGGGGATATATCCCCATCCCCCCGGGATCTACGCCTATGCCTACAAAAACAAAGAAGGCCTAGGTTGTATATGTACCAGGCCTAGAACTACTAAAAATTATGCATAGGCAGGGAATTGGTCAAGGCGGCTTTAAGAAGAAAGCACAAAGAGGAAGGAAAAGAACAACATTTAATTAATCAAATGAAAAAGGGTTACATGTATTTTAAGCTGAGAATAGACAGCTCTAAAATAAGGATGACATCATAGGACCTGCCAAAATAGCAGAGCACCAATGAATGAATGAGGCCTAGCTATTAATTGGCCTAGTAAATAGTATTGTACTGTAAGTGCTTCTTGATTGTAAGTTAATTAATGGCGAAATTATATATTTTTATTCAATTATTATTATTTTTATTATTATTAATTATTATTAATCGTTATTAGTATTATCATTGTTATTATTATTATTTAATATTAATTACATTACAAGGTTTAGGTCAAGTTCATAAATGCTGGAATGATATATTTAATTTTATTATTTAATAATATTTTTCTTACGCACTGTCCCATTTTAATTTCATGTTTCAAATTTGTTTCAATTTTTTTTCAAAATGTCAGTCAGTGTCATGTGGAGCATGACTGTTGTGTCAGGCCCTGGACCCTAGCTTAGATAGGAGCATAGGCTAGGGAGGGGCCTATATTTAGGACCTAACTCAGCCTGTAATTAGGCCTAGGCTAGCCTCTTTTGCTCTAGCCTTAATTGATAGTACCTATACTACTGGTGGTGATACTAGCTGTCGTTGTTGTAGGTAGTATTACATTTGATAACAAACATAAATCTAAGTTACAGACATCACATAAATCGGTAAGATTTAATAGGCCTACCGTTGCTAAACAAAGAACAATACACTAATGGAGAACACTCGAGTGTCACAACACGACATTGTGAAGCGCCTGCTCTTAACGAGCTCGAGTCGAGTCAATCCGAAACGGCCCGAGTAGAGTTTCATGCAAATGTTTCGTAAGGGGAAAAAAATCGCCTACCGCGCAGCCGTAAACTTGAATTACTGCTTTACGCGCTGGAAATATTCTGCTCAAAATTCATATCAAATGGAATTCAAAACAAATTGTAATGGTAATACAGTAGTACCAAATAAATTTAGGATTGGATTAGCTACATTTCATGTGCAATTTTATTAGTAGGTTTACAAAATAATACTATACAATACAAGACAATTGATTCAAATTACTAAATACTTTGAAATTCTGTTTCCACTGACAATAACACATAAAATATTAAATAAAGATTAAAATATACTCAAACATCAGAGCGCCAACAAGCAAAGTAATAATTTACAACACGGTTCCGGTTATATTATTTGGTATGAAGTTTAAACACATTTATAACCTTCAAATTAAAATTTTAAAATACATTGAATAAACCCCTTAATGGAAGTCGTTTCAGGCAATAGGCACAGTCAGTTAATGTAAAAAATACAGTCGATTTTCGTCAAGCACAGTCGGTTTTATGTTTCCCAATGAGTTACAGTAAAACTTACGACCTGTGCCTGACCATTGCTGTCTCATCTCATTTTAGTGGTTTCTAAATATTTTTCTGGTATATAGAATGATATGAGACTGTTAAAAACCACCTGCACCGCCACCCAAAATATTTCAAAGATCCACTTTTTTTCCAAAGACATTTTTTTCTAGGGCCTTTTCACAATGACATAAATTAAAAAGCATTTATGAGGTACCAGCAATGAGGCCAAGACCTTGCCATTTGCGTGACGTAATCTATCTCAATTCCAGCAATGCTGAAACTAAACCTGCCATCCGCTTCAAGCTGGTGGCGCTGTAATCGATTTTCCTGTCTCCCACTGAAAAGGTCCAAAAAATTATGATCACGACCCACCCAGAAAAAACCTGGATACAACCCTGCGACGTTCACATGCTAGAGAATGACAGGGGTGGCGCCAGGATTTGCCCGATGGGGGGGGGGGACGAGGGTCAGATTTCCCCGACGAAACCAAAGTGGGCGTGGTCGGGCTTCGATTCAAAGATTACGAAAGTGGTCCTGGGGGCCAAACCCCCGAAAATTTTGACAATTTAGGGGTTTCAAAGGCTTATTTAATCGATTTTAGAGTCCAATAATATGTAGAAAATACATATAATTTTTTTTTCTCCCCGATGAACTGTGCTTTTTCTCCCCGACGGGGGGGGGGCAGCTCTCCCCGACGGGGGACCCTGGCCCCCGGCCCCCCGCTGGCGCCACCCCTGGATGAGCGATCAAAGCGAGCGAATCCTCTAGTAGTTATAATAATTTATGCATGAATAGGTAGTGGTGAACTATAAAACGAACTTAGTTTAAACACAGTGCCACTTGAACTTAAGACATCATTACGACTTACTATTTAATGTCAGGGCATTAACCGAAGATTTATAAACCGATATCTTTTCGCACCGTCATGGAAAACGTAAGTCAATACCTGGATTCTTAAATTATTGAGATAATTCAAACGTTAGTAATTTAATGATTGACTTACAATAAGTCACATGAAATTTACGAGTCAATAGTTACTAAGTGGTACGGTACTTTGTAATTTAAAAAAAATACTGTTATTTTTTTTTTTTCAATTTCATTTTAAACGAACTATGTACGTCTTCAAGGGCGCTGTTGAAAAAGTGCAGTGTAGTGTACGGGGATGATCACCGTGCGATACACTGGGCGATCGTAGTGAATCGGCCTAAATTTAAAGACTCTTCTAATTGAAGACCATCTCCAGTTAAATACTACTTGTATGCGGCCCCAAGTCAAATCTCCTTCTATTTAAAGACCAAAGTCAATGGTTTTGGGGACCTAAGTTCATTCATTCATTATGGTTTATTATTAAAACAACAAAAAATGACATTGCAGTATTGAACTGAATTGCGTCAATCTAACAAATATAAGTTAAAACAAACAACATTCACAAAACAAAGCAAAACACAGTATATATACATGCAAAATGTATTAAATATAAAAATTTTAAACATGAAAATTGCAAAAATCACAAAAGACCACACGCTCATTAGTAATGAAAAATTCAAGTCAAATTAACAACAATTATTTAACAAAATTCAGATCAAAATTAAAACAAATTGTAATGTTAATGTATTTTTATAATAAATTTCGTTATATGACTTAAACATAAAAACATTAGACAATGCACACCACAAGATGATGTATTGCGCATTCAGTGTTTTGTATGTTGAATAACGATGATTGGAGTACAACTCTCATCCGCTTCACACTACAGAAACTGGGGATAAGCTACGTACTTCTTAGCAGTACTTCTTATTTCTTAAAAAGAATTAAAATAAAGAATAAACCATAGGCCTACTGGTTTCTTTGGAGTATGCATCATGCTACTGTAGGCTCTTGTTAATTTACCAGTACTGTAGTACTAAACTAGTAGTTTTTGTTTTTTGTTTTTTTATCTTTGCCTAACTCAAAAAATTACCTCTTTAATATATACATTTTAAAAAAGTGTATGGCCTCTCAAATCAATTAAATAACACCTGTACATGTCTAGAATGCTGGAGCTTCCGGGGGCGAAGCCCCCTGGACCCCCACCGCGCCTTTTTCCCATGGACCCCACCGGGGGCCCGTGGCGACACCCTGGCCCCCAGATTTAACTCCAAGCACTCTCTTATACAACTGACTTAAACGCTCAATAAGCTGGAAACCTATGTGGGTCGAAGCATGGAAAACATAGTGAATAAAATTCAAATCGAATCACGTGAAGCTCTAACCCGGGCACATTCTCTCTGACTGAAACGCTCATAAATAGTGGAGTTGTAGCGAAGCTAGTAAAGCTTGTTAGTCGCTGTTTCTTTAAAAAAAAAAAAATTATATATAGCTTAATTATTATAACACACTCTAAATGTATTAATTGAGGAGGATATATAGCATAACAATGGTTCAACAATAATTTAAAAAAAAATCATAACATTTAAACGAAATAATGTACATTTGACTTGGTCACTGCAATTAGAAGTTTTTTTATTTAGTGTTTATCGTATGAACACTTGACCTGTCTTTTAATAAAATTATCTCTATACCGTCATGCGGTAATGCTATGAATATGTAAATAAATAAAAGAGGAATCTGCTAGTGTGATAAAATAGATGCCCTAATCGGAATTCGAACCCGCGACCTTTTGCTGTATATATGCAGACCCCTTAACAAATTGAGGCTTTGTTGGGTATTCATATCCGATTAAAGAATCTAATACTTCAACATATACCCAAAAACGTAGGAATAAAACAGTCGCCGTAAAATTTATTTCAAACGAACACAACAGTATACATCTTTTTTGCATAGCTCTCAACAAATGTATTCCTAAGTAAAGAAAATATAATAGGACTACATTCGTTGAGAGCTATGCTACACGATGTATTTATGTCCTTTATTCGAACACCGAAAGGTCCACTGATTAATCTCAGATAAGATAGTATAATACAATGCTCCAAGTACTAGTGTCCCGTCCAGCAGGGGAAGTACAACTCTCATCCGCTTCACACTACAGAAACTGGGGATAAGCTCCAGCCCTATGCGCCCCAGTGGCTCGGAAAGCATTTAGTTAGTAATATACATACTGTCTCTTATACACATCTATACTTTGAAATTCTGTTTCCACTGACAATAACACATAAAATATTAAATAAAGATTAAAATATACTCAAACATCAGAGCGCCAACAAGCAAAGTAATAATTTACAACACGGTTCCGGTTATATTATTTGGTATGAAGTTTAAACACATTTATAACCTTCAAATTAAAATTTTAAAATGCATTGCATAAACGTTTTAATACAATTACACATTCTTATCACAAGTTATCGTAGATTAGAATAGGCCTAATAAATAGGGGTCTTGGCAAAGACATGATGGTGTACTTAAATGCAAACTCTTCTGTTAATAGTTTGTTTCAGGCACAGTCGGTTTTATAATGAGTTACAGTAACCCAGAAAAAAATCTGGATGCAAGCCTGCGACGTTCACATGCTAGAGAATGAGTGATCAAAGCGAGCGCATCCTCTAGTAGTTATAATAATTTATGCATGA